CCTTTGTTGCTTCTTACTGTCATTCTGAGTTTCTTCTTTGGTTGTGATCTTCATCTCAGTGTACTACTCAGAGGTGTTTTTTATGAGATTACTTTTCTTCCTGAATATCTTCTGAGCCTGCAGGATCATTAAATTATCTGAACTCTCTTCTGCTGTTCCTCTCAAAGTCCTCCTTTACTGTTTGCATTAAATTAGAAAGTAATTTGATTCTTTTTCTATTTCCGGTTTCAACTAGACTTGCTGGTTTGTTTGAGTACTATTATGGTCTTTTTTTCCTTCTTAGTCGCAGGGATATTGATTATTGTTTATTTGTGTTTCAGTGGCACTTAGGAATCCATGCCCTGTAGTGCTTGGTGTATGTGTTTGTTCTGAAGCACAAAGTGTGCTTGTGGTTTACTTGCTTTGGTTCTCATGTGTATTTTACTTTATGAACTGTAACTGATGCACAACCTGCTGAGGCAGGTGATGTTTTCTGCTCTGTAGAAGCAACCTGCCTGAATCAGTAGCCAAGCAGTTCAGTGCAGAAGTGTGGGGGAATTTTGTACAGGTGTTGCCCATATGTGTTTGGTATATGCCTGGAAATGGTAAGGGTGATGGTAAATTTTTTCATCTGTCAGTGTATCATTTTTCACAAGGGGTGGAATTTTTTTGAAGGCTTAAGGGAAGGACGAATTTTGCTCAAGGTTCTTTCATTATATTATTGTAAGATTTATAGCATTGTCAAGCCCTTTCTTTGGACTGATCCCAGACCTGCCATCTCTCATCCTTTTGGAGTGCAGAGTTCTCTTCCTCAATTTTTTCAGCTTTTACTCCAAAGGTGGAGAAAAGTCAGCATTTGAACTACTTCTTGGAGGGATTAGTTTGTTCAGTCTCTACTTCTAAATTAGAAAGTAAGGAATTTTTATAGGAGACTGAGGTTTCCATAGTTTTATTCTACATCGCACAGTAGTATTTTCAATTTTAGAACACTGACATGTTTTTACTTGAATTTAACCAACTCATATCCTACCCTGTCAAGGTTGCTTTGGCTGCCTCAATTCCCTGCCGTTCTGGACATAAAACTATTATCTTTTGGCCTGGATCCACCTTTCCTGACACTGAAAGAAGGCCTGACTGAAGAAAACATTCCAGGAACAGTTTATCCTGTTCTAGCTGATACAGATTGTCTAAGGCAGGCGTGTTTTTTTGGCTTTTGTTCAGCATTGCTGAGTCCAAATATCTTCCTAACCACCCTGAAATTTCTTAGCAGTTCACTTTCTTCTTACTAACCAGACAACTTTGGTAGATGGTTGTGTGGGGAGAGATGCTATCATATGCACTGGCTCTTGGCTTCCATAGTTCAGAACTTTGTGGGGTTGACTGGCAAGATCTCTCCAAATCTGACCTTTTCCTAGAGTGCAATTACTCCAGTATGCATTTCTCTGTGTATTGAATCCCAGAATACTGTAGTCTCAGTCTGGCATTATGGCTTCTGGACACAAAGGCAATTTTTCCTAATTTACAGGTGTGTTCCAGAATGTCTCTTCTTAAAGGACAATGTTGTCCATTCTTCTGTCATACTTCTACCCTCTGTATTAGGTGTATTGAGTGCTAGTTCTTAGTAGCTGGTATCACTGAACTACTTATTCCCTATGTTGGAAAAGCAGTAAACATAAATTTATGTCAATTTAATCATGACTACCTAATGGAAGGTGTCATTTTTAACTTGCAGCAAGATTTAAATGACTGGGGACAAAGTCCAGAGAAATTATTCAAGTCATTACAAAACAGGGTTCTGAGCTACAACGTTTCTACGGTTTCCCTTTTCTCTCTCAAGTGCATTCTGTAGCTTCAGGCACTGAATTGTAGCTTGTCCTGCTGTTTGGTTCGTATCCTGGTTTTCTTCTGGCTCAAAATAGTATGTGTGTTGCTTTTTTGTTGGACTCTATTTCTGCATCTGTCTTTTGTAGGCTGGCACAACAATAGAGAGTCCTAAGAAGAAATGCTCTAAATGTATGTTCATGTTTCTCTTGCCCCTCCTCCTGGTCTCTTCTCCTTCCCACCCCTTTCCAAATTCCATTAATATTTACAGAACAAGAGCCAGTACTCCAGCATTAGCCTCAAATTCAGAATGAGATTTTTCTGGCTCTATCTGCAGCTGATGTAGAAGACAACAGAGGTTAGAAATGCACTTAAAAAAAATAAAAACAAAAGGCCTTTTCATATCTGACACACTAGATGAATTGTCTATAAACAGGTCTACAAAGACCAGAGCATATGTAAGAAAATATTACATGTATTGTTGCTGGAAGGCAGAGGAACATAAAATTATTTGCTCATTGATTAAATTAAAAATTCCCGTGATTTAACTTACAAGAATTAATTTTCACCATTGTTTCTTCCAATTTTATGAGGGGAGAAAAGGGTTCTTTTCTTCAGCTTACTGATTCCTATTTACAGCAGTAAAGTCAGAAAGTCAAATGGAAAGATTGCCATACATGAAAGAGAGCAGTGTTGATAGTTGCACACCAAAATATATAAACTAAGCATTTGTAAGGGTGTATAAATAAACAAATGTGTGCCTTTAGTCCAACACTGAAATTCTGCTAACATAGATTTCATAGAAAAAATGAGAAATTGGGAGGATAGAGAATTAAGAATACAGATAATTTGGATTGTTTTATTTGAACCCAAACTTATTATTTCGTATCTGTTGTTTGGTGCTTAAAATGTTATCGTAACCTTTATAAATTGACTTAAAAAAACAAAATGAAAAGATAAATATTCTTATTATTCCAAATTGGTTTATTTTAATCTTGTTTTATGCATTGGAGAGTATTTGCTGACTTCCACTTTAGTCTGCACATGCAATTATTCCTCTCTGACCCCTTTCCATGAGTATTTCAAGACTTGCTTTTCCCTGGCCATGGGAAGGACAGCTCATGTTCTTTTACAGTTTGCGTGGGGATTCTGGTACTGGTGACCTCAACTATTTGCCAGCAGACAGTTTTTTTAACTAAGCAAAGTAACTGAATTATGTCCATCTTATTGTGAGGCCAAGGGTTATTTCAGAGAATAGAAACTGAATCTACATTCTTTAAATGTAGAAGGAGTTCATCTGCATGTTCAGTGGAAGATAATTTGGCAAAGCAGTCAGGAGAAGCTGACTCTGCAGTATGTGTGCACTGCTTTCTCTAAAGAGCTGTGAGAACAAATTTTAGCAAAGAAATCCTCAGTCTATCAAGATGTCCAAAATATGTGGTAACACAAGAAAGTTTGGTGAAGTTTTTTTTTATTCAATATGGATTTATTTATTCTTTAATTTCTGTCCTTCCAAAAAGGTACCAATACCCATCAGTCTGTCCTTTAATCTGTAAAACGTTGCTGTTTTTTTTTAAGAAGGGCTCTCATTTTTTTCGTTGCTCTCTGACAGTAGAATTGAATTATCTCCCTTTTGTGATGAGCCTGTGTTTTCCAGGTAAATGAAAACGTAAGGGTTTATTTTTCAAAACTGGAACAGTTGGATTGCCTTTTTGTTTTACTGGGATAAGCATCCACGATGCCCTGGGGAATGGAGAATGCTCTAAAATAAGCCTAGCTGTTTTTTGTTGTTTGTCTGTTTCTTTTTGCATCTGTCTTCGTATTTATTGCTACCATCTGCATTTCATTTCAGGTTGTCTAATGTCTTACTCTGCATGTTCTGTGCCTATTCTCTCTACGCAGCCTTGGGCTGTAATATCACCATTTGCCTACAAGAGATGTGTTTCTATCTGTAACAAAATGAATTGCATTCATCTGTGTAATTCATTTCTAATGAATGCCTTGCTCCTCATTAAGCAGTGATTTACCTTTGTTTCCCTTTTCTACACTGTCACCACTAACCATTTAGAGGTCCTGTGGAGACATACTAATTTGAGAAAGCAAAAGTCAATGCAACTAAGGGCTCACAAATGCCATCCTCATTGGCACTTTTAGAAATGTTCATGGGACACTTTGTGGAATACAGTTTGCAGGTGGATAAGAAGACTCTAGATGTTTTCTTTGTCACTCATAAGCTTTCAGTGTACAAAGACAACACTTCAGAGCTTAAATGCATTTCTCTTTGTCAATGTGTTGAACAGGTAGCCAAGCTTGTGAATCTTGAAAAACATTGTCTGCTCTGCAAGACTTTCACAGATCACAAGCACATGTGGGGAGACTGTACTCTTGATTCCCTGTCCCCTCTGCACCTTTTCAGGAATACTAAAATATTTTTTAAATATTGTTTAGAATAATGTTTTGAAATAGTTAAATTTGAAATATTTTAGTATATTTCAGACTTGAAAATATTTTACTTTAAATTTTATGAGATTCTAAGATTAACCATTTATTGACTTTGTGTGTCTAAAGGAAAAGGATTAGTACCATGAACTAATGCAACAGGAGTTGTATAGTATTTTTCTTACAGATTTGGTCTGTTTTCAGCTTCTCTGTAATACCCTTTCAACCTATCCTGCAGCATCCCCTTTTCCAGCACTGCACTTTGTAGAACAGCAGAATCTGCCATGTGTGCAAATAGATCTGTACTGCTGACAGATGATGGTTTGAGTATAGGATGAATTACCAAGTACATTTTCACTTTAAACCTAAGCAGAGTTTGAACTGCAGCAACAGATTATGAATATGAAAATACTGTTGTATGAAAAACATAATCTATAGAAGTTGTTTTATGTACAACTTTAACTTCTACTTTAGAGATAGTACAGGCTACTCAGTGACACTTTGGTTAACTCACATGAATTTAGCTTTGCATTTTACAATATTTATCCTTGTCTTTGAGCAGACTAATCCCTTGTTGAAACTCTAGAATTGTCAGTTGGCATCAGTTGAGTTTCACCGTGGATTAATCTGATCACAGTATAATGAGGGCATTGAAGCATGGAAGGTTTTTTTAACTGGTCTTGCCTAAGTCATGTAGTACTTGGAAGTAAGAAGACTGATTAATGTAACAAAATTTTATTTTTAATATACATTTTAGAGGACAAAACTGACCTTGAGAACAGTGTGATGCAGAAGAAAATTAAAATCCCCAAACTCTCTCTCAATCACGTAGAAGAAGCTGGGGAGGTTACAGATTATGGGGAAGAAGATGTGGAGCTTAGACACAGTAAGGTACTGAAGTCTTTATTTTTTTTTCTTTTCTTTTTAATTTTTTTTTCTTTTTTTGTTCTTTTTTCTTGGAAGTGCTTGGGGCGTATACAGACGTCATAGCTTAAGAATTCCAGGCCTGCTTTTGATCCCCTTAAAACACGGATTTTGGTGAAGTTGGGTCAAATTGTGTGTGGGGTGGGGTAAGAGTTTTCAAAACCTGATTTATGTGCAATCCAATATTTTCCTGTTTATACTGTCTGCACAGCTTAATTGCCATTTGAAGCTTTTGGAATGATGCTCTTCCGCTTTGGCCCAGAATGCTTTAAAAGTCACCAGTTCCATGAATGTTGAGCAGCTGTTCTTGGTGACATTTGTGACCTATTGCACGCTGCTTGTTTGGAATGGGAAGGGGTGCTCTAAAACTTCCCAGCAGTGGGAGAGAAGACAAATTGATAGGACTGCATCCCTCCATTATAACTGCCAGTTGCCTTTTTAGATCCAGATGTCAGAAACCTACTATATAAACGTATATAATTTTATATATCGAATAATTTCTTTAAAAGTCTGCCAACCTTCAGAATAAAATACTGCTCTGTGGCTTCATGTGTTTTGCAGCTGCAGGAATAATACTAGTGCATTTCTGTGTGGTGGGCCAGCATTTCTTTCTTTTTTATTTTATTTTTATTTTTTTAGACCATGCGTGGAGCAGGCATACCATCAAATAATTTCATTTTCTGCCACATTACTCATGGATATTGTGGTATGGGAATTGATAGTGTCAGCTCCTTGTCTCTAACCTATGAGCTACATTTGCTTTCCTTGCACTTGCTTGGAAGTTCAAATGCTTTTTCCATATTTGGCCAATAAAATTTAGTGATTTTTAATTGTTACATTTTAATGCCACTATCCAGGCCCCAGAAAAGAGGTGTGATTTAATTTCTAGGGTTTGTGCAGGCGACTGAAGGTAAATTTCTGCTGAGAGTTCAAAGGACATGAAGCCTCTGCAATGCAGTACAAATATAGAGAGAATCAGTTGATGAGAGACATGAGGCTGGATGATATATTCTGTCTCCAACTTCTGTGTTTTCAATTCCTTTTCAGTGTTTGCTGATAGTGTTAACTCAGTCACTTGCATCAGGCAGTTGGGTGAATGTGCTACAGGAATAGTCAGAGAAGGTTTTGTCTCCCTAAGTGTGGGAAGGACAAGCCCCTCTGTTCACACAACAGCTTTGTATGGTATTCTGCTTTCATCTCTCATGTTGTTACAGGTGACAAATATAGCACATACTTGATTCTTTCTCTTATTAGAAAACCATTGCTGTTGAAAATCTAAATGTTAGGGGTAAACTTTGAAGGAAAAGAGATCCGGATCCACTTTTTCTTAAAGGAAGTTAATCATATTTATTTATGGAATCAAGTGACCTATATACACTGAGCTTGCAAGTGTTGAACAAATGCAGAGAGAAGGGCCTTTAACTGCCTCAGAAGTTCGTACATGCATTTAGCTGAATAACATGTGCATGATAGTTATGATGTGTAGCCACTAAGAATCTGATAGGCAAAACGTTTTTGCAGGCAGACTTTATCTTGCTTTTTTTCGGATAGCAAGAGCATTAACAGTTCCCAAGTCTGTAGAACTTGAATTTTACTGCATCTTACTGCTCTCCTAATTAATTTGTTTTTTTATTGTAACATGCAGAGGCAAGATGGGAGGAAACAAAGTGAAGGTACACACAAAAGCATTGAAGCTGTTGTTGCTCGCCTTGAAAAACAGAACGGGATGAGTCTCAGTAATACTTCCAGCCCTGAAGAGGCTTTTATGGAGACTTCGGAAGGCTTGAACAATATGGACGATGCTGTAGTTCCTCGGATTCTTTATGAAGAATTGTTGAGGAGTTACCAACAGCAACAAGAAGAAATGAGACACATTCAACAGGAGCTTGAGAGAACGCGGAGGCAGCTTGTGCAACAGGCAAAGAAGCTAAAGGAGTATGGGGCACTCGTGTCAGAAATGAAAGAGCTCAGAGACTTGAACAGGAGACTCCAGGATGTACTGCTTCTAAGACTAGGTAGTGGTAAGTGCCGGACTTAAATGGGACAAGTTTTAATGAATTTTGCAAGTGTGATCAATAGTAATGGAAACGTATTTGAAGAATAGCAGTGGTTGTTAAACTGGACATTGAATGTTAAAAGGGTTTTCTGCTATGGCTGTACAATATGTGTTCAATTTGTATGCTATGTACGTCTGGGTTTTTCCTTAATGATAGCAGAGGTCTTTGTGCTGGTGTGGTTGAATCAGAGTTCCATTCTACGTAGCTGTATTTTAAAAAGTCTCTGACCTTCCAGTATATGCTGAAAAAGACAATAAAGCGTCATCTGCAAAATATACTAATATATTCCAGTTTAAAAAGATTTAAAAAAAAAGAAGAAAGAAAAGGCAATGAATATTTGGGCTGAAACTATTTTTTTCTTTTCAGTTAGGGAATTTGTTTATTGTTCTGTAAGTGACTGTGTTACTTTCCGTTTCCCACCCCCTCTTCCCATTAGTAACTCATTAGAGTGTGATATATTCCTGAAGTTCTTAGCAGTGGCTTTAAGCAGCCATGCTATTTGAAAAATCATGGTTTCTTAAAGAATAACTTGAAAAACTTTTTATATTAGTGTCCCGTTTATCAACACTTGTTACAAAATGCAGGTTTATGTAATTTGGATTTAAATTTTAAGTATCTCAAGTCAATTGCTCATTTGTTTTGGTATATAACAATTATTTAACCATTATGTTGGAATAAATGGGTAAAAAGACCAAATAAAAAGATGGTACCCTTGGAATACCTTCAGATATTTTACTAATTTATATTTAATTGCTATTAGTATGTGGTACTGCTGTGTTGAAGATTTGCTCGGTGACTGAAACTTGGTTAAAATTTGTGCATCCAAACTTAGCATGCTGTTTCTTATGTCTGCCTTTGTGTATCTGGAAATTTGATTTTTGCATGTAAATTGGATATTGGCTCTTCTACTTTCCTTGAACGAGTGCATGCAATTTGCATGTGGGTCTGAGTTCCATTCACATACAAATCTGAACCTGGGAGAGCATGTGCTTGTGCTGTAGCATGTGTCACAGTGTGCCCACAGGTTTGGAGCCAGGGTCTTGAAGTAGCATCTGACAACTGAAACTGGGTGTTTGATTGTGAATGCTCATCGTTTTTACACTGTCCTTAATGAAAATGTCATTACTTACTATAAACATTCCAGTTAACTTTTTAAATAAAATGAAATAGGCAAGGTTTCCACAGTCTGAAAAATATGATGTGGTTGGCAGTAGATTCCACTGAGCTTTCTAAAATTTTCCTTGGATGGAAAGATGTTCCTTCATCTGCAAGTAGTTAGCTGGAATTTATGTGAATGGAGCACCAGCCAGATGTTAGTAGGCAATGGGGCTGAACAGTGTAAAATACCAATTTAGTTGGTAGACTTGCAGCAATTTCAGTGGTGAGACCAGCAGTGAAATGAAGACAGCTTCTGAATTCTGTCTTGTTTCTTTCACTTTAAGAAAGAAGTGATACGTTTTTCACTTGAGCTAAAACAAGAAAGCTAAGAAGAAAGAGTTAAAAAAAAAAAAAAGGCCAAAAAAAATAATCAAAATAACCAAACAAAAACCTAAAAAACACAACCTCTTGAAAAAATGCTGAGTCTTCTCTAAATACTGGGCTTGAATTTCCATTGTATCTATCTGGGACCTCCTTTACAACTGAAAATAAATCTCGATTACATTGAAGATGAGTTCTCTGAATTCAATCACACACCTGGACAAATACAACCTATAGGTAACTTCAACAGAAATTCCTTGTTTTTATTACTTGTATGGAACTTTTCATGGATGGCAACAGTAGAATTTGGCCCTATGGGCTATCCCCTTCATAGAATGTGTGTTTCCTAAAACTCAATTGTATTAACCACTGAGATCTCTATGGCCTTTCCTTGAAGCCTCATTCAGAGTAGAGAAATGACCAGATTCTACAAAGATCAGTACAAAATTTATGATTTTTTATAAAGAGAGGCATCTTCAGCGAATTAGAGAGTCTGATGACAGTATGAAAAGTGCTACTTTTAATCAAGAAATAGATCTGTAAAAACTCCTTTAGTCTTCCTTGCTTTTCCAGCTTGCAAATGAGATATGTTTAGGTAGGTGAATAATCTCTCAAAATTGTTCAGAAAACAGATTACATCCTGAACTCATCCACAGTTGTTGCAGCAATCTCTTAAACCTAGAGTTTCAAATTACAGGTAATTTATGTTATGCTGCACTTCTAGCAGGCTGGACTTAATGCAAACTAATTGCATTTCTGTTTCACCTTAGAGATTTCTGATTTCTTTGCATGAGATGACAGCTGGTTTGTGCTGATGAATTGCAGCTGTGGGAAACACGTGCTTGTTGCCATTTTAAACTTGCAGATCAAATATAGAACAGCCTCTTGAGCTAACATTCTGTCAAGCATTCAGTCTCCTAATTTCCCATCAATATGTTGATTTCTGTAAGCAGCTAGAAGTCAATGTATTCTGCTTTAGACCTAGGCCTTCATCTCTGCTACTAAACTTGAACCACTCTTGTGGGAGGTATGAGGTTCTTAATCTTTCACGTGGTGACACTGAATTGCTCTTTGTTTTCAAAGAGCCTTGAAAGCAGATGTGGTAAATGGCAGCAGTGTAATCAGCAGTGACCCATGAGGATATTGAAGCTTCTTTATGATTTTGATATGCCGTTGCCCAACAGATCCCTTCCTGCAGGAGGCAGGCATTTGACTAAGGCTCTAGGGACCAAAGCAGTGGGGGCACGTGATGACTGTCATGGAAGAGGTTACAGAATCCCTCATCTGAGCACCCTGAACAATGTGTGCTGCCAACGCCTCTTTTTCTCTTGCCTACGTTGGGATCAGGAAGCCTTGCAATCCTAGGCCTTAGCTGTTTGTCTTTGTTCTGTTACACCTAAGAACATATTTGTTTGCCTTGTTTTAATCCATAGAAAATAAGGTGATTTAGACAGTTAAACTGCTCATGCGCCCCTGTAGGTCTAACTTTAAATATGGTCCCTGGATTGCAAAAGCTAAGAATGTCAATAATTTTTTAAAAAAATTATTTGTCCCCAGGGTAAGACCTGTGCAGTTTACTACGGTTGTACAAAGCCAGAAGTAGTGAAGTTGTATCGAGTAATGTCTGAGTTTTGTTTACTCCCTGATAAATACTGCATTTTCATGTTGTGTTGCCAGGGATTAGTGTTACTCTAAAGTCAGGGAGTATATTCACCTTCACTCATTCACATTCAATCACCAACACACACACAGCCCCTGACATGATTATTATTAATCCCAGTTTAATTTCAGTGATCCAGTTTACGGTGTCTTGGGACTGACACTAGAAAGAATGAAATGGTATTTGTGTCTTGCCGTGTGTAAGGAATTACTGTTACTCAGATTTTCTAGATTGATTCGGCCTTTTGATGGAGAAAAAGGCCAAGGTTTCTATCAAGTGTGAGTACAGGAGGTACCATACATATAATATTACTACTTTTCAGACTCCTGTTGGTGTTCAAATTCTTGTAGACCACGTGGAAAACAGCTTTCTGCTTGCAAATGTATATTGACCACTTTATTAGTTCATTTATTTTGGCTTATCTACTAGTTTTTCAGTGGTGTGTAGCCTAAGATGCATTTTTTTAAAAAGAAAGAGGTGTTAGAGGAAGGCCTTGTACCTCTTCATCCTACATTTGATGTTGCTGGCTTCTCAGGTATTACGGAAACTTTATGGTCAGAAGGAGAAGGATTTTGAATTAAACCGTTTGTTTTCTTTTTTTGCATTCTGAAGAACTGTATTTTTTTTAAGATCCTTATTACATAAGTACTGTCATTGATAAGCCTTTAGATAGTGACATATTTTTGTCTGTCCTGTTCATCATCTTTAAAGTAAGATGCAGAGCATGAGAGCTCCAGAAAGAGAAAAGTTGTAGACTGTGGTGTGTGGTACACTGCTCCCATTAGCATTATGCAGGTTGTATGACTAATTTATAACATTCCATGTTGAAAATGGAGTCTTTACTAGCTGGTGAAAGTAGCTGTGAAAACTACCTAGTTTAGATGCAGAGTTGGAAAGAAAAAACATCAATAGAATATAAAAGAAGACTTTGTAAAGGTTTTGGTGACTTCTAAGCAAGCAGTAAAGCAGGAATCGCAGTAAGAGTTTTTTCTGACCTGTTTGAGCTATGCTTGTTGTGGACTTTAATCAGCTGTTTTTCTTGGGGAAACTCTGGAAACCAAATCCCAGCTGTGTCAATATATTGCTATAAACAAAACAGTCAAAGGCTTCGAAATAGCAGCTAGTAAAAGTGTTCAAACTGCGATAATTGTTTCCTTCTAGGAAGAAGGTCGTTGTCCTTAGGTGTGTTCCTCAAAGTGACTTTCAAAGTATAAGAAAACTTAAAATAGCACTTTGTTGAAGAATGTTTTTTCAAGTAACATCTGAAAGTTCACTTCTTTACACTGGCAATTATGTCTCTGCATCTGCTTGTTCAGATGTGTCCCCACAGAGATCTGTGCAGGCTTTTTGGGGTTTAATCAAACCAAGTTTTTTCCACAGTCTGAATCAGTTTAGCAGTCTCAAGTTTAGAAAGCTTAGTTTGTCTTGGCCGTGCTATCGTATGTGCATAATAGTTGAGGTGCTTATTAAGATTACAAGGAATGTATAATGCAAATGGTATGTTTTTTCTTATCTCCCTATTTGTGCCATGCTTGGCCTGTATATGGCTCTTGAGGCACTGTTGGTAACACTGCAGTGTAGGATTGTCTGAGTTGCCAGGACAACTTATAGTAGTTGCTCAGTGTCAAGTGGCAGTCAGCTGAGAACATTTAGCCTGCTATGTAGGTGTAGATAAAGCAAGCTATAGGAGAAATGTCAAATGCTGACAATTGAGGAAATGCTGGTGTCACTGTATAATAATCTTTAAATCTCAAAGGAGGAGGGATGAATACTTCACTTTTTCCAGGTGCACAAAATATTTAAGATTTGTGACTGAAGATGTGAGCTCTGGTGCCAGCTTGACTTGCAAAGTTAGATCAATTCAGGACTTGGTCTGTGTGCACAAACACTGAAGAGGGTTGCTGAGCTATGATGGTGACCTGATATTGAATTGTCATTTGTTGAAGATGCCCAGGTTGGGCTGCAGAGTGCTGCAGTGCTCTTAGCTCCAACCTGGGACAGTATAGCTCTTACAAGTGGGTGAGTTTATCCTTACAATTCTTGGAAGTGGCTGATTTCTGTGTTGTCCAGGGTTTAAGCTAGCAACTTCACAGTGTTAATGAACTACCATCTCTGCATGGAACTTCAGTGGCTGCTGGAGCTTCTTATGACATCAAGGGACAATGATAGGCTTGGGGCCGTAGCCTGTTCCAAGGCTGCTGGTGTAACAGCTGCAATGAGTAGAATAATTTAATCCAGTTCACAAATTATTTTATTTTGTTCTTCTGCCTTTTTAGGAACAATTTATAAATTTGATCTGGAAAAGAAAAGTTGATGACTGAGAAAACAGTCATCTTCCTTTGAAGCCTCAAACATGTGTTTAGTAGTATTCTGTTGTGTAATCTGTGTTTAATTTTTGTTGATTACATTAAAAATAAAAAGCAGTGTGTTGGATGGATTGGACAATTGAAGTCTAATTTATGAGTTTTCTCTTAACCTTGAATGCTCTTTCTATGCATGATACTTTATCATATGTAGCCTAAGCCTGTTTCCTTGATAGCATTTCTGTAGATCCTCACTATTTCTAATATACCTCTGTTATATCTAAAGAGATTTCTAATTTCTAGAAAGTTTGCAATTCTATATGGATAATTTATATGACCATCATAGTAAATTATGCCAGTTTCTATGCAACTATATAGTAATTCTTATGTGTAGAATTGCTATTGTTCTTTTGGTTTAGAATTCGTGTCATTTTAACACAATACCAATAGCGTGCATTGAAACGATCCTACCCATATCTGTGATTGTCCAAATCCTTTAAGAATAAAATTAAACATTTAATGTTTCTGAAGCAGAATTACTTATCCTGCTTTTATTTATTGACATTCAGAAGTAGGATTTTTATTTAGACTCGTTCTGACTTTAAAGTGAACATGACTAATGTGTTATTTTATGCTAACTGTTGGTGATGAAGTGATTGATTTCATGTTCTGTGGGATAGCAGACAGCTCTCTTTTCTTAACTGTCTAGGACCTGCCATTGAGCTTGAAAAAGTAAAAGCAGAATCAATTGAGCCTGAACCAGAGGTACAGAAGACCTTCAGTGAGGAAGCAAATACATCAACGTACTATCCTGCCCCCGTTCCAGTAATGGACAAGTATATTCTCGAGAATGGAAAGGTATTTTAAATTCAATATAGCATGAATAGTTTCTGAATGTCCATTAGGCAATTTTCTTGTGGAATTTGCCTTGAATTTGGGTTTTTGCACGGTAGCAGCTTATAGAAACTTTCTCAGTTTTCATAAAGGTATGCTATTATGCTCTGGAAAAGTATGCAATTACACAAGTATGAACAGCATAGAAAATTATCCTCAGTTGATGAGACCATTGAATGCTATGCAACACCAGGAATATAATTAGTAAATATACATGCTCAAGCACATGGGCATGGTCTTCAATTGGTGACACACACAAATCCACTGACTACAGACCCACATTATAAAGTTAAGTTAGTCTGTCTAGCAGAAATACTTTTTTTCTAAAAGGTCTTTCATGTTTTTTAATGTGCTGTACTAATCTTACAGAGAAGCTTTCATGTTTTAATGGAATTGGAGTCCAGTAGATAATTATGAACCCTGGAATGAAAATGAGCTCCCTTGAATCTGGTAGGAGTGTTGCCAGTGAATTGAGCTGATGTAGTGCTACTGTACAGACAATTTTATAAAGCTGGCAAAACACCATCTAGCTACAGTTTTCCAGAACCTGACTGATAGTTTTTCAGACTTCAGCACGTTTAACACATTGTCCAGTAATGTACTGAAGGCTCCTATTATAGCTGTTGCCATGACCATTAAATGAACATAATCTTTCTTTTACAAAACTGTATGTCCTTCAGAATTGCCTGTGCAGATCCTCTTTCTTAAGCTATGTATGCATACAGTACCATAATCTGAGAACCTTTTAGGAGGAAATGTCCATTTCAACCTTGGCACACAGTGGAGTAGCATGGAATATTATCTTTTCAGATTTGTCTTACAAAACTGACTGCACAAGTGTCTGTCATTCTTGAAGACGAATCTGACATAATTGTTGAGGACAAAATGTATGTGAAAAATAGTATAATCTTGGCAGTTTGACAGGTATTTGGTTCAGATGGCTTTTCTTGCCTAATATGTTTAACATATGTCATTTGTGTGTATATTTTGTGTATCTTTGTGCAATGAAAACTTAAGTATATATTCCTGTGAGAGTTTGGTTTGCCTCCTTTTTTTTCTGCTTAAGGTCTGTGGGATAGGACACGTCCTTTAGTATTTATATACAGCTTTTCCTGCACCTTTATTTCATCTGCCGGTTTTTGGCACTTCTGTTCCTGAAATTTTCTCCATCTTTGCAGATACCAGTATTTCTTTAACTTTCTTTTTTAAATTTTGGCCTTTCTTTAATTGCCTATTTGTTGGGACTTCAGCCAAGTCAGGTGCCAGAAATGTGAAATAATAATGTAACAATATGTTGACAGTTGATTGTTTTCAGTTTTCCCTATTTATGCCTTTTTTTCATTACTCTTTTATTGACATACACCACCAGAGTAGTTGAAATACTTTTCAAGAAATTTTGTCCTTTGTGGCATCGGATTTGATCTTTTTAGGATTCTTTCAAAGCAGATAAATCTCTTCTCTCCAGAGGGAGAACAGAGTTACTGAAAAAAGAGCCTATGGCATTCATTTAAAGAAAGGAAGAAGAGGGGAGGGGGAAAAAAAAAGAGTTCATCTTCTGAGATACATTTTAGATATATTGCACATGTTATCACAGTTACTGTGGTGAGCAGTGCTTTGGATTTGCTGTTGTTTCTATTGCATTGTGCCTGAAGCTGATCCTGCAGTTCCAGAAATTGGGGCTAAAGTTCCCATTGATTTCATCAAGCCAAGAGTCTGGCCCATGGGGCAGCTCTTCCAGCAAGAAGGAAAGGCCTTCTGAATCTGGGGTACAGAAAGCTTCCCATAGCTTTGGGAGTAATAGGAAATGGTACAAAGCCTGTTTTATAGAGAGGTAAACTGAGACATGGGCAGATTAAATTCTTTGCACTAGCAGTGCTGGAAAAAGAAGAAGAGAAATGTAAGATTTCTATCTCTGTCAGTCATGTAGTTACTGTTAACATAGGTGTTTCATACCAGTGATAACTTTTTTTAATAAATGAAGCATCTTGAAAGAAGAGATGATCTGTCTGGAACATAAATATTAAAGTATTTGCTGTAACTTGTTGTTTTCTTTTAAATAACTTGAAGCTAGTGAATAATGTAGTAGTTTAAGAGACTAAAATTTCTTTAGCAAAGACAAATCCCAGTTTTAGTGGAGGGGAATCAGTTTTTTGATCAAATATAACAGTCTACACGTAATGTATTACAGGCATCCAAAATGCAGCATGTCACAATATTCCTAATCCTAGTTGTTTTCTAAGTAATTTGCACTCATTTCTGCTGATAATTTTTCCAAGATCAAGGCAGAAATAACTGAATTATAACTGTAACATGATTGTTTTAGCTCAGATTGCTCACTGTGATTGAAGTTATCTTACAAAACATGCAAAGAGCTGCAGAAGGGGGTGAATTTTTTAAAGCATTGTGAAGAGACTCAAGAACAGAGCAGGAAGGGGAAAGAAAGGGTGTTCATGTGCTTATAACTAGTTCCTCTCTGTCTGTTATGAAGTTTAATATCATGTGGACTTGTGAAAAGTTTTTTTAAATCCCTTTAGCATTGAAAATTCTGTAGGAGAGGCAGCCTGCTATTTGGTTTTATACTTTGAAGAAGATAGGCTTTTAGTTTGTTTCCTGCAAGGAAGCCGGTAGCCAAAACATTAATTTTTTTTCTATTTAAGTTTTTAACCAAACAGCTGCTTTTGAAGGATACTGTTGTAATAAAAAAATTCTTTGCATTATAGCCCTCATTAATTATTAAAGCAGGTTTCCATTTAGAGGCAAAATGGTGTTTGATTGAACACAGGCAGTAAAATTATAGGTATATAATATTTTACTGTAGCTTTTTCCAGTTTCATTGGATTTCATGGGACTTAGGTGATACGGTTGAGATCTGTATGGGTAGCAGGCACAGTTTAAGTTATGCCACATGAAAGGAGTAAAACCACAAAAAAATGTAAGAGTGAAACAGTTAATGCAAATGATCTCCTGATATATGTGCAGTAGAATTTTGTTCACGGGATTTTTTAATTGTGAGTTGGCAGTAAGTTTTTATTAAAGTGTTACTGTTACAGAAAGAACTTCCATTTGATCAGATTTTTATGAAACCTAAACTTGTAATACAACAGTCTAATTGAGACGTATTTTTGGTGTTTATAGAATTATCTGTGTAAGTTCTATCTTCTTCCTTTCTGTTGCAGTGAACTCTTATCAGCAATTAGAATAGCTAGGTCACACGTTAGCTTGTCACGGCTGATGAACAAGTGTGGGTCCAACTGAATGAAGTTCATCACCACATGAACAAAGGTTTTTGTGTGTACAGGCAGTTCATGTGTCTGCACTGGACTCCAGGAATTAGGAGCATGGAGATACACAGTGCAAAGTACTCTCCATGGTTCTGCACAGGGCCAGCATTTGCGTCCAACTGAGCTTATTGGTTCTGCTCACATCAGACCCGTGCTGGTTGCTAGTGGAGTTATTGTCCTTGCTGTTGCTTGATGATGTCCTGGTTATCAGGCCTATCAGCTCAAAAATACATGGTGCCAGCCTAAGGGCGGTACTCAGATTCTCGACCTGTATTCATCTTAAGTCTGCAGCACTGGGAAGCTTGGGGTAGAGATACAGGGTAGCTCCATGGCAGTTATCCCAGCGTAGTTGATGCTGAACGAGACTAATAAGCACAACTTGCCTGAAGCAGCTTCCTTTGGAAAAGTCTTCAGTGGTGTCACGCTGCATTTCCCAGCACCCATGTTACCCTGCTTTACTACCTCAGTGAAATATCTCTGCTCCCCATTGTCTGCATAATGGGAAGTTTATGATGTTGCAGTGCTGGGTCATTGCCTTATTCACCTGGATAGATCCACTGTGCATGACAGGCAAACTTCTTGATAGAATTGGAAGTTTATGAAACTTCCAGGCTCTCTTGATTGTATTGAATTTGTAGCTCTCAAAATCCCTTCTCCCTTTCTAGTTACTTTAAACAACCAGACTGAATTTTGCCAACAGGTACAGGATACAGCTTAGGAAGTATTTCCCTTTCTAGTGTCTCTGAAATACAGTTTCAGTAAAGTCTGTTTCACCCAAAGGAAGCTTCACTCTGAAGACAAATGTTTCATCTTACTCCTGAATTAGGCAGGTGCAACTGCTTGATTTATATGCTGTGCATACCCTAATAATACTGGATGTGTTTACTGTTTCCTTCTTCTATCTCTGTTCCTGACCATAGCCTTTCAGATGATAGGCTGTGCTAGGGCAAAAAAGTAGAGAGTAAGAGGAATTGAGAACAAAAGGGAAGAGGAACTATATTATGTAAGAGGTTGACTTGAACTCCCTGACCCACCAAGTTGGAGAATTTTCAGAATTAGGCAAAATGGATTTGTTCAGCCCTAATTACTGTGATTATAGTACCTAATACTAATGTTCCTACAGCACTTGGTTACTGTTGTGTGCTACATATCATAGATAAGTTGTTATTATTACTACCTTCTAGGTCCATCTTGGCAGTGGAATTTGGGTAGATGAGGAGAAATGGCACCAGCTGCAAGTAACACAAGGAGATTCAAAGTATACAAAAAATCTAGCGGTTATGATTTGGGGAACAGATGTTCTCAAGAACAGAAGTGTCACAGGAGTTGCAACCAAAAAAAAGAAAGATGCCGTTCCCAAGCCACCTCTCTCACCTCACAAATTAAGCATTGTCAGAGGTAGGTTATTTGAAAACTTTTGCTTCCTGCTTTGGAGTTTAACTATTAATCACTGAGTTGAAAGATGCTTCTTTTCAGCTCATATAAAATTAACTGATTAAAAACTGTAATTCAAATTGCTATTGCATTGTGAAGTGCATACGTATTCAGGAAAAGTAAAACACATTGCAATAGCTGTGCACAGTGCAGGCCTTCACAGCTGGAGAGTTGAGGTTCAAGAAGATCTTCACTTTGAACCAGACAGGACTCTGAGCCTGGAGAACAGCACATTGTTCTGGAATTCATTTATAACATCATGATTTCTTAAAATGCATATATTCCTTTTAACAAGCCTGAGAGTAGCTTTACCACATTCTTTCATCCAGAATGTTACCAACTCTGGCATGAGGCACAGAAACCATTATAGCTGTGACTATAGGAATACGCATACCTTCCAAGGCAAGGAAGAATAGTGTTGCCCTTCTCAGGGGAGAAAATGGAAATAGCAAAAAATTAATTGTTGCACTTGAATTGGAATTTGACCAGGAAGTATAAATCGCTGACCTATTGTGGCAGGAAAAATTGCAATGACACTTTCAGTAACTGCAAGCCTGAGTCTGTATGTAGTACTTTAAGAGAGCAAAGGCCTTCTCTTTTGTGTGAAATGAATAGTGAATTTTCAGTCACTTTGTACCATTGTGCTTGTGTTTTACATTCATTTCTGTCTCTGCTGGTATTTCAGGCTTCTTTTTAAGTCTGAAGTGAGTCAGTTCCTCATGGAATACATACTGAAATTGGATTTTTAGGTTTTGTGTCTATACTAAATTGCAGTAGGACTGAAAGAAATCTCCCTGTTTGACTGAGCTTCATTGTTTTGCATTTCCTGTTCTTAGTTGCTGTCTGCTCTTAACTATGAATTCTAGGAGCAGTTGTAACTTGCCTTGTGAGTAACATATTTTGGAAGTAGGAAATACAATTCCTGTTTGAGTGTGTGCGTGTGTCTGTCCATGTTGTGTGGGGAAAAGTTGAAAACTGGTCTTTGTACTGTCTTCTTGCTTAGTTTGTAGAAATGAGTAAAAGGCATGTTTTTGTTTTCTTTTCACTAATCCGCTTTAAGAATATAGGTGGAATTGCAAGCTGTTCCATACAGATTTTCTAGTTCTAGCAGGGATCTTTTGGTGCAATCCTAACACGAGTAGTAAAGTAATGATGTATTGGCCACTTTTAAGAAATCTACTCTGTGGCTGTGGCTGGCCTTGTCAGCTCCTAATGGGAAGCAGAGCTGGTTGCCCAGATGCACACTTACAAACACACAGTAAACAAGTTATTTTTCACTAGTCTATTGCAAAGAGCTTTCTAGTTCCCTGCTGGAGACTGTTGCTCCTCAGCACTGCTGGCGAGGTTGCTTATGTGACAGTTTCCTCTTGTTTGTTAGTCAGGGTCAGTCTGTGTTGCTTGAGCCATTGAGGTACTAGCTGTCTTCTAACTCCCCTTTGTTCTGACCACAGTGGGGTTGGAAGTATGCTCCAACAGGAATATGGTGAGAGGCAGATGGGGCACTTTTCTTTCTTCTGTTCTGTACCTTTACACTTTACAGCAGTTCAGCTCTTCTCTATTTCCTCATTTTTCTGTGTTTTCTGTCATACTTCTGCTTCCAGCCTCAACCCTCATTTGAATTCTACTTTTCCACACCCTGGATTTCTGTGTTCCTCTTTCCAGTGTTTTTTTCACCTTGTCTTTGACTGTCTTTTTGTTAGACTCAAGACTGCACATTCTCCTCTTGAACCATTTAATCTGCGTGGCCAATGTTTTAGGTGGCAGCAGCTGGACTTCCTTTTTCAGTGGTACTGAGAAGCACATGACCAGGATTTTCCATGTCGTTGTGTGCTTTGCATTTGCATTAGTGTTACTGGGTCTTGCCCCATCATGCCAGCAGTGATTCCTGGAGAGCTGGGAGATGTAAAATAAGAAGTTATGTTCTGGAGAAATGGAGACTAAAACAAACCAGATGAGAAGCAAGTGAACAAATGGTGAAATGCAAGGGAGCTTCAGTTTACATGTCCAATGGCTTGGATCAGGCATCACAGATAGGTATAAAGCTCCTTGTTAGTCTTTGAGGTCTACTTGAATTTTTGGTCCAGTCGGAAATGCGGAGGAGCATCGGTGTGCTCCCCTAAAGCCAAAAGAGAAAGAAGAAGCAGAACCCCCAAATCACTCTTTGAAGCCCCTAAGCCAGCATCCTTATGTGCTTACTAAACTATTATTTCTGCAGCCCTTCAAAGAAATGGAAGAGATAGAAGAGGAAAAGCTGTGATGATCATGTAGCAGGGTTACTCTGACTTTAAGAATCGCAGCTGAAGAAGGAGTTCTCTCAGGTGACTCTTTGCTAGTCATTGGCTAAATGAGTAACATAGCTGGTATTTTACTGGAAGTTCACCTTACTAGGTGTATCTGCCACAACCTGAGAGTATTCCTGAGATTGTTGTAGTACATACAGTTTTATATCCTACAAACACACGACGTTTCTTCAGGTTCTCAGTGACGTGCCTCTTCTTAGTGTTGTGTTTCAAATAATTCTTTACTGCTGATCAGCATTTCAGCTATCAGGCTACATGCTGATTAATTTTACTTATTTTACATCTAAAAGATCTTACAACATAAAATTGACATTGTTTTAGTTCTCATAATTCTGTGGACGCAGACTAACTTATCTAACATACATTTTTTGAACAACATCATTACCTCTAAATGTGTCTGATCTCTTTTGCTTCTTAAAAATCCCTACTGTGTAGTATGCGATAAAGAAATTATAAAAAGTGTGATGCATGAGCACTGTTATAAACCTTGTTAATGCAAAATAACCTTTTATATAACTTCTGAGAGGTTTCAAAATGAACTACAAAGCATGTGTAGTACTTAATTTTCATAACTTTTTAATATGATGTGTTAAAAATGTTATAAACCATGTTAATTAAGCAATAATCTCTATGACTTTTTGTGTATGAAGCAATAAATGGCTACTGGAATATATTACTAGGCAGAGCAGAACAGTTGGTTTAATCAGTCTGGGCAGCTTGCACAACATACTGTCTAGGTTATGAAAACAAGAAAACCAAAACCTTTCTGCCACTAAGGAGTTGGGTGTTCTGCACCACCTCTGATTTCAGTAACCTCTGCAGGATTCCGGCACCAAATTACCAACTCTGTGTAGCTGCACCGATTCAACTTTCATTGCCCTCATTGCTTTTGCAGTTGTTCCTATTGCTTGCTTTTTGTATTCCAGTTAAGCTCACAAAGTGTATTGTGCAAACATGCAAGAAGATGACTTTCACCCTGAGTAACCTACTAACAAAAGCCGTATACGCCCAAGGACAGGGTGTCCAAAAAAGATGCAGGCATTAATGTATGTTGAACAGATTAAAAAAGTTAAAGAAATCAGTTTGTGTCTTCTCCTTCTCTTCCTAACCGTTATCATTCACTTACTGTCTTGAAGGTGTGATGGTAGGAGTGGCTCACAGAGAACTGTAGATAACAACAGTTCTAGTGAGACTGTTCACCTGGGAAAGATTCTAAATCTGCTGTGGAGATATGGACAAGTACAAGAGTTAGGCAGGCAAGTGACATTGTAAAAGGTTGGATTTAGCCTTGTTTCTCTATAGAAAGCCTATTAATGTAGTCACAGCATAACTGGAAGATGGTCATGCCAGTCAAGCCTGGTGAAAAATCTTGTCTTTAACAAGATAGCCAGTGAATCAATGAAAGCTTCTTTTGTGTTGCAACAAATATACAAAGTGCTTACTCAGTGCTGACTCTTGTGTAGTTAGCCCAACTCAGGGCTGAACTATTTTGTAAAAATATCCTAATGACTCTTTCCTTTTTTTTTCTTTCTCCCCAGAATGTTTGTATGATAGAATAGCACAAGAAACTGTGGATGAAACTGAAATTGCACAGAGACTCTCCAAAGTCAACAAGTACATCTGTGAAAAAATAATGGATATCAATAAATCATGTAAAAATGAAGAAAGGAGGGAAAGCGCAAAGTACAATTTGCAATAAATTTTGGATTTTTAATAAAGTCTTAGTGTTTTCCTTAAGTGTTGGTTTTTGATTTGTGTGGCAGTTTTGCTGATGGGAGAAGCTGACTTAAGGCATTACTCTCCTATAACTGATCAATTTTTTGAGCGGTTCTGTCAAAAGCCTTTCTATGGTGTAACCTGCTTTTAAATAATGTAAGATACATTGTAAGTTCACGATGCATTTCAGAAGGTTTTTCCAATGAGTTGCAGTATTTTACCTGCAGTTCTGTATATAGGTTGTAATTCTGTGAATACCAACCCCTTTTGTCTACGTTTTGTTTTCCTGGACGTAGTGGATCTAGGCTGCATTAAACATTTGCTTAGAAGGAAGAACTGTACAAAATCCACTTTGCTATTGAAAAAGGTTTTATTGTATTTTACAAAGTGCTTTTCTGAACTGAAATTTTAATCGTTTGTTTTTATAAATCTTTGTTTTGGTCTCTAACAATATATTTGGTCAAAAACACCCCAAAAGTGCTTCTCTTTCACTTATTATCTCGTAGTTAGATCACCATTACTGTCATAAAACCCCCAAACAATGAAGAAACCCAAACTATAAGTTTTAAAATAATGATAATTTATTTTTTTAAAAAATCATAATCTAAAAGCAGTTTGTTTTCAGGACCCAAGACACTTTTCAGATCTCTGGTTATGTTTCAAAGCATGTCCATGTTACTGTTCTTGAAACACTATATTTTTAGTGTATTTGTATTTTGAATTGATTTAAAGATTTCCACACTATGGCAAGATGATGTATAACAGAAAATTTAGTACCATTCTTCTGAGTCCATCATTTAAGAATTGATGTTTTTAGCACAACTTTAAATAAAAAATAAAAAAATATTTTCTACATCAAAGTTAGATTTGGGTTGCAAAGTTGTAAGAAATAATTTGTGGATCTGAATTATATGTGATTGTCGGTAAGTAAAAGAAAATAGACTTAATTCTGGTTTTATGAGGGATTTTGGAAATAAGGTTTATAGAGATAATTCAGGGCCTGGACTGATAATTTTTGAGGGTTTGTTATATTGGTGGTCTTCCTTAACCTTCCATTTATTTTACGTATGCAGATTATCTACCTTTTGTGGCTGCCTGTTCCCAAGTACCAACGTCTGTTTATTTTCTGCCACTGAAGTTGTTCTTCTTGTAGTTTTGAGAGACTTCCCATTTCTTATCCTTCCTGTAGCACTGGAAAAACTGAACACAGATCTTATTTCGCTGTCCTGCAAGTGTAGATCATTTGAATGGAGCAAAACAAGGGTTCTTTAAAGAGCATAGATGGATGGATGAGAGAAGCAAGGCATGCTAGAAGTGCAGTGCCCGTTTTGGAAGAGATGGAGAAAAACACCACATTGTGGCTTCATGTGTCGCTATGTGTGCTTAAATGATCACTTAATTCAGGGCATAAATATTTGGTTTGTGCTTTCTGAAGTGCAATGTCATGAGTGGCTTGTGCCAATATAAGTATTCTGTGCTGCCAAGCATTCCCCGTTCCACTGCTGTGTCTCTGTCCCTCATGTCCCTCTCCTTGAACTGGCAGTTGTGGTTGTGCAGATGTGTCAGATCTCACTGATGCCCAAGGCTGAATTCATAAGGGCTGGTGCCAACAGGGTGGAGCTCCAGGGAGCATTCTTGGTGAGAGATAGGAAAAGGAGGAGTGTCTTTTTATGGTGGCCCATGTGTGTCTGAAATTGCATTTAACAGCATAGTTTGTCTCCTGTTAATCTCAAAGTGTTCTTAGGTAGTGTTTAATGAAGTGAATAAATGTTTATGCTTCCTAATTTGGGATGCTAAATACCGAATTAGTGTTTGTAATGTCAGTGCATGTTTCCTTTTATTAATTAAAGAACAAAGTAGCAGTAAAATTGAAGAAACACTTAAACAGCAAGTTCCCACTTTTCAAGCAGACTTGTGAAGGTCCATTTTTCGTTGAAGTGATATTAGCCCAATTCACTAGTTTGGGGGAGAATGTCCATATTTTTTTTTCGGTCTTTTATGGCTCTAGTACTAATGTGTTTTCATTGTAACAGGTTTTTTAATGAGTAGATGATGCTGTCCTTCATAGAAGATAAGCCTATTTGAGGCAGCTTTTTTATGAAACCCAGGAAAAGCAGATTAGAATTTAATTTAGAATTTAGAGTTAGGACTCTAGCCTAGCTACCAAAATTAATGATTTTAAGTTTCTGCAAAACCAGCATCATCTTTCTAAGGTTTCTTCTTGACAGATTTGTCCCAGCAAATGTTAATGCTGCATATTGCTGAAGAATTGTAATTTTGTCTTTGGGGAAGGTTTCTTGGACGTTTTTATTGATTTCTTCATGGCATTTCTATCAGCCCAGGTCCAGAAGACAGCTCTTAGTGGACTTCAACGGGAGTATTTGGGTGACACAAAAAGGTTCATTCCCTTATTCCCTTTCAAGTGTAATGGTGTGGGGGCTAATAATGCGTCCTTTGGGCTGGGCAACTGGCAATTAACATGTCAGCTGAAGTTTCATGGAGTTACAGTGAAGCAATAGGATGTGTTCAAGGTAGTATACCTCTTTATTGTATTATGACTTGAACAAAATTATTATTTTTTTTTTTTCCTGGAAATGGGTTATTGCTGATAATAAGGCAGCTTTGTGGGCTGTCATTGTAAGGCAGCGTGCGGACGGCTCTGTGGTGAATAACAGGCGTGTATGAATAACATCTCTGCACTTATATTTGCGCACTATTCTTGTCTTTTCTGTCCCCATGACCATGTGAAGACTACAAGTCTTTCCCAGTGTGTCTGTTTCAAGTAGGGAAGTAGGCTAAAGCTTTTGTGTGTTCAGCATTACCCACGGAGAAATACAAACTGTATTGGGGTGTGCGTTTCTGCATTGACATTCTGATGTATAAATTAATTGTGAAGTTAATTTCACGTGTTCATTTCACAGTTTTGTACTGCATTGATGACCAATGCTGTACTGCTTGGTACATGAATTCTTCCCTAATTGTGCCTGTCTGTACATACTTTTGCTTTGTTCGTAACACATCTGCCATGAATCTACCATAGGAGGCTTGATGTGAAAATAGCACCTTCTAACTTTTTCCTGCTTCAGGCTAACTTTGTACCTGTACATTGTGTGACACTGGAGAGAATTTTGACATAAAATGAAGTATGTTTTGTGATACCCTGTAATACCCCTTGTTCGTCATTCCAAGGTTTGTGCTGTGCTGTTACTGCACATTGTAAACCTGGATTTGTAACAATCAGAAAAACACAGATGTAAGAGGAGCTGACTTACTGTCCTGAGAGATCAGTGCATACAGTTTACTTTTTTTGTATTGAAGAAGGTATTACTGTTACATGAATAATCTGATCCTTTTTTTTTTTTTTTGCCAGATATTGCTGCTGTAATTTGTAATATTCATGGCCTAATCTATATTAAAGTGCCTCTGGCACATTTGCAAGAAGGCTAGATTAGGGTTAACAAAAAGGGCTTTATTTTCTATTAATGATTTTGTAAGGGAAATGAGCTGTTTTATTAAAGGAAAGAACCCTAACAGATATAATACCTTAGTCAGGCTGTCTAGCCATTCAATTAAAAAATCAAAACTAGTGTTTGTTAGGG